CTGGATTGCTTTGTAAATCAAATGCTGTAATCGATTGTGTGTGTTTAACAAATGTGAGTGGTGGATACTCCTTTTACATATGATTGTATACCCTGTATGGAGTTTGTGTATTGAGGATCACTGGAGGACATCAAATCACTGCAAAAGTGGAAGGTCCATTGACCCAGAGACCCCCAATGTAATTTATCTTTCCATAATAGAGAAATAGCTTATAAAGATAAGGTTGTGTACATGAGGAGTGGATGGTGAAGGAAAATCATGCATATAATTTGAAGGGGTACATATTGCATATGAACCCCTAAATTGCAGAAGTTAAAACAAGTTAAGTTAAAACAAACCTTGATGTCTGAACCCAGTTTTACAACTTCCGTATATATTGTTAAATTATATCTTACCAGAAACTTAGGGCTTCATCTATTAAAGTTCCACCCAGCGTAAAGCCGGGAGAATGCCGTTCGCACATCACTAGCACCCCTCGATGGTTCTGACGAGTGTAGAAAATCCTGTACTCATCAACGCCCTCTAGGGGAACTAGGGCATCCAGGCTGAACTTTTATACACGGAGCCTTTAGTGCAGGGATGGGCAACTCCGGCCCTCCAGCCGTGCCTTAAGTACAGTGGCGGAACTACCAGGGTCACAGAGGTCGCGGCGGCGCCCTGGAGTTCCGCCACTTGAGGGGGCCCAGGACAGGAGGAAGGGGCCCCTGGTAACCGCTGACTACCAGGATATTTATTATCCCGGTAACCGCTAATGTCAGTCCCGGGACCTCTTCCTCCTGTCCTGGGCCCTACATGCTTCACGCTGCTCCCCTCACCTTGTTCCGGGCGCAGCGTGAAGTATCATCCAGCCGGGCAGCAGCCAATAAGTGGGAGCGGTGTAATCCCCGCCCCCTCATCACACAGAACTGCTGCCCAGTGCCGACTAGAGCTGCCGCGGACACGAAGGGGGAGACAGGGAGTTGGAAGTATGAAGGTGACATGGGGTCTGGGAGCGGAAAGCTGGGGACATGAAGGGGGAGATAATGGGGAGCAGGGGACATGAAAGAGAAGAGTGTTTTTTGTTTTTGTTTCCTTGTCTAAATTTTGTTTAAAAAAACAATTAAAAAATATATAATTTGTTTCTTCTTGGGGTGGGTGGAGGGAGCTGGATTCACTAGTTACGCCACTGCTTAAGTACAAATCCCAACATACCTCTGCCTCTGGGAGTCATGCCTATAACTGTCATTTTTTGCAATGCCTCATGGGACCTTTAGTTAAACAGTTGGAGGGCTGGGTTTGACCACCCTTGCCTTAGTGTATCCAGGTAAATTATACCTCGTTTTGTTCAGGACATATGGGGCCTTTATTTGGCGGTAAATGTTAATATACTGTATATCTTATCTTATCTCCTGATTATTCTTTTGTAATCAAAGGAATATTGCTCCTTTGGTGTTTTTGATGTTTTTGTTCCTTGATTTATTATTTCATTTTGTTTTCACGCTGTAACAAAGCAGTTATAAATCTTTTCTGGTATCAGTTGGATTGCATGATTAATAGCGCAGCTTGTGATATTATTTTTTGTCGTTTATAATCAAGGTTTAATTTTGATATTATTGAAGAGCAGCGGCTGGGTGGGAATTTTTGGAGAGAGCGGAAACTATTATTATTTATAATGTCAGTCGATATAATGAGATACAAACAGTGCTTCGGAAGTGAAATAAAATACCACCTTTGACCAACAACATCACACATTTTAATATAAATACGGAAGATGAATCATTGCGACAAGAATCAATTTCTCTTATATTACAAGAATAACTTACAGTCGTCTCAGATATAGGGGACCTTGCATAAGCATCGGCATCTGCTCAAAGATGATAAAATGATCGGACCAATGTTGCCAGATAAGCCAATATGTATAATTAAAAGGGCCAGAAATGTGGGTTTGGAGCTAGCTCCAACTATAAAACCGCCAAAAAAAAAAAAAAAGTTCGACCTGGTTAAAATGTAATATGAACAAAGGTTTGTAATAAATGCACAGGGCGAAGATGTACTAATAGCGAGAAGGAAATGAATGCCTTGATTTCCATTTCTACAAAAGAGCTTTTTCCTATCAAACATTGAATATTTGCAATACAAAGGGGGTGATTTATGCTATGCAAAGACCATGGCTCAAACTGTATGTGGCTCGCGGGGAACGGATGTTGAAGGAAAAAGTGAAGAGACATTTCAGAACCCTTTTAATGGGTACAGATGAACATGCTTTAGTAAAACACTATAAGGCCCCATTGACACTAAGCGATTTATCGCGCATTTTTGCCGCGTGATATCGCGAGAAGTCGCCGGCCAATGCTATTCAATGGAGCTGTCTTAGCTCCATGCCGCCCGTCGCTCGTCGCTGTCGCTCCAGCAGGACCCTTTTTTCGGCGGATTTTGCGCGATTTTTCTATTTTTTAAGGTGAAGGTCGCGCTACCGTCGCTAGAACGTCGCCCCGAAAGTCGCGCTATCCCGGCCGCGCGGAACCGCTGGAAAAGGTATGTCGCTTAGTGTGAATGGGGCCTAAGGATCATCATCGTTCCGATTTAGAGACTTTCTGGGGAATTAAAGTTATTTGTGAGAACTGGAGGAGAGGAAATTATGTGGAGATTACGTCCAAGGAGGAGACCAAAGGGATATAAATGAATAACCTAATACCAGAAGGATTAAACGTCAAAGTAATTAAAGTGCGAGTCCAGCCAAAAGTTCTATCCAAAAGAGTTTTGGATAGAAAGAGAAAGGGATAGAACCTCTGCTGGGTCTAGGGATGAGCTTGGGGTTGTGGCGACCATGAGTTTGAACCAAGCCCAAACTGTTGATAGTTTGCTGAAAGGGTCAACAATTTGGCCACTTTGCCGACCTGATGAACCTCCATTTGTGTCCTAGCAATCAATGATGCTGTGCAACCCACACATCAGCATTGGTTGACTGGTGGCTAAGCTGCATAGCATCATTGGCTGACTGGTGGCTAAGCCGCACAGCGTCATTGGTTGACTGGTGGCTAAGCCGCATAGCATCATTGGTTGACTGGTGGCTAAGCCGCACAACATCATTGGTTGACTGGTGGCTAAACTGCATAGCATAGCACCAGTCAACCAATGACGCTGTGCAGCTTAGCCACCATCCCTAGATAGCAATATAAATGGTGCTGTGCAGCCTAGCATCAACGGTTGACTGGTGGCTAAGCCGTACAGCATCATCGGTTGACTAGTGGCTAAGCCGCACAGCATCATTGGTTGACTGGTGGCTAAGCCGCACAGCATCATTGGTCGACTGGTGGCTAAGCTGCACAACATCATTGGTTGACTGGTGGCTAAGCTCCATAGCATCATTTGCTGACTGGTGGCTAAGCCGCACAGCATCATTTGCTGACTGGTGGCTAAGCCGCACAGCGTCATTGTTTGACTGGTGGCTAAGCCGCACAGCATCATTGGTTGACAGGTGGCTAAGCCGCACAGCATCATTGGTCGACTGGTGGCTAAGCTGCACAACATCATTGGTTGACTGGTGGCTAAGCTCCATAGCATCATTTGCTGACTGGTGGCTAACCCGCACAGCATCATTGGTTGACTGGTGGCTAAGCCGCACAGCGTCATTGGTTGACTGGTGGCTAAGCCGCATAGCATCATTGGTTGACTGGTGGCTAAGCCGCACAACATCATTGGTTGACTGGTGGCTAAACTGCATAGCATAGCACCAGTCAACCAATGACGCTGTGCAGCTTAGCCACCATCCCTAGATAGCAATATAAATGGTGCTGTGCAGCCTAGCATTCTAGCAACCAATCACTGGTTGCTAGGACACAGGCAGCCCTGGGTTCGGTTCACTTGGATGTTTGCTGAACTGGGATTTTTGGGTGGGTTTGGCAAATGTGCAAGAAAACTGAACCCTGACCAGTTTGGTTATATCTACCGCTATCCAGGACTTCATTATGGAGATTTTTTCTCACTTCCTGTCCCGGGGATAATGGTTTTCCCAGATAAGAGGTAAGGCAAAATCTGCAACAGGGACACAGACAGCAATAAAAATCTGACAAGGGTTGTAGCCTTCCCCTAATCTACAAAAAGTATTTTTATTTCTGTCTTAAATGCTTTTTCTAGAAGATCCCCAATACGTGGAAACGCTGCTTTTATAATAGATGTTATTGAAGAGTTAATGATTTCCATGCACTGCACTGGTGATGGCCAACAAACCTGAAACAGCTGTTTGCAGCCTAGTGGGATTCTCTATAACATTAGGCTGTATGTGTGCTATAATGTTGATGTTCTGGATGCACGGTTGGCCCAGGGGCATAAAGGAATGGTTTGCATTCCCCTTCTACCATATTATAATGAGGGATAGACTCTTAATTTTTGGGATTTGTGGTGTAAGTAATGCTTCCAGATACCGTCTGCTACCCAGGCGGTCGCTATGGGGCCCGGGGGAACAGTGGGGCCCTGGCCAGATGCCGTGTGGGCCGCCTGGGTCGCTATGGGATCCTCTGCTGCTGGCTTTCACTGGCGGCTGAAGAAGAACACGCCGCTGTTCAGATCATCTGTGCAGCAGCACGTTCGTCTCCAGAGTCAATGAGAGCCAGCAGCGGCGATGGAGCAGGCTGGTCCCGGTGTTCTGTCAACATCATCAACTCGCGAACCTGTGACGTCACCGTTAGTGGCGGAGGAGGCGGGGCCCGTGCTCGGCAGCAGGGGAGGAGGCGGGGCCCGGTGACAAAGAAGGAGGCGGGCCCGGCGACGGAGGAGGTAGGGAGTGCGACCAGCCCACCTGAGGGTGACCCTGCAGAGCCCACCATAGAGAGTCTATGGTGGGCTCTGCAGGTTCACCCTCAGGTGGGATCTCGAGTGGGCTCTGCAAGGGGTATAACTAGAAATCACGGAGCCCCATACAAAATTTTGCTATGGGGCCCTGTGATTTCTAGTTACGCCCCTGTGTGTGTATATATATATATATATATTGTTCCTCAAGTAAGCCAGACTGTATATCTCACCTGGTGTCGATGCACCTGCAGGTACTGGCTCCGGTCTGTGGGCAGAAGGACATGTCTCACCGGGATGTATTTCCCATCCCTCGGGTCCCCTCCCAGGTAGTGTGGAGGTCTTTTGATGGCAGCACCATTGGAATCAAAGCGGACTTCGCACAGCCGGCCGTCTGAGAAGTCATCCCGAGCACTGTCTGTGATGAATTACACATAGAAGGAGTCAGTGATTGTGCAGTATCAACAAACAGACATATCACACTTTGGTGAAAGGTTACAGCAAATAGACTTGTGCGCCGTCCAAAAAAATTTGAAATTCGTTAACGGAATTTCGTATTTCGGATATAATTCGGAAACTGCCATTCGGATTTCGGATGCTCCGAAATTCGGAATTTCAGGAAAATTCGTACGAATTTCGTTTCGTAACGAAACGAATCGCACATGTCTAACCGCAAATAATTGCAACAGTATGTAGAGTGTATGTCAAGGAAAAAAAAACATAAGCAGTACATCTGCAATACACGCACACCCGCTGTGTTATAGCTATTTCTACAAGTACAGAGAAATACCGGTTGATCATGTTTTAGAATAGCTGGCTCCAACTCTCTCACCTCAGCTTTTGTGAACTTCCTGTCTAGTACAAGATCAATAAACAATTCCCAATAAAGGCAAAAATTAACCTTCTTAGTATATTTTCTTTTCAGGTCAAATTGTAATGTAATACTGCATTATCGCCACTAGATGGAGCAGAGGAACAAAGGTAATAAATACTTTTTTAATCTGCTCCTCAGCTCCATCTAGTGGCCATAAGGCGGTATTTTCCACATATTATATTCAACCTGATAAAGGTTTTTTCCTGAATTTCCAAAATGGGTTTGCTTTTGTAACAATAAAGTAGATCTGTACATGTGAAATGTTGGTTTAAATTTCTTCTGTCGCTCCTCATGCAAACCTATATTTGTTACACCCTAGGCTCCGTCCTGTGCAATGGAGGCTTTGTTTTGAAAGAGGCCTCATTTGTATCCATCAGAGACACCTATCGATACATGAGTCACCCCAACTGCTTTTGATAACCCGACGGTGTAACCAGCCCACACTGGTCTTACCTTCATCTCCCGCACTGTCGGACAACATGGAGGCGCAGTGCTCCCACACAGTGCGCAAGTCAGCCCGGTACCGTGCACAGGACCAGATGAAGGAGGGCAGTAAAAGAGTCTGTGCCATGGAGCACCATATGACGCACAGGACCATCCATGGGGGGGCGCTATCGTAGCGGAGACTTATAAAGCTCACCACCTAAAGAACAAGAAAAACATGTCAACAGATACATCCATCCTGTCCAAATACGTTGCGGCAAAGGGCATCCATAGGAACGGCAGTGCTTGTTGCCAATAGAAGCCAATCAAATTTCCCCAATTTTTTTGCTGCACTTGAAACCTTGAAGCATGAAAGGGAGAATCTTAATGGTTACAGTGGGCTAATCTTCCTTCATAGAATTCCTTAAATAAGGGAAACTCTATTAAATGGGCATTTAGTACTAATCATCACTCCTACTTATACTTTCACAAGTATGTAGACACCCCTCCAAATGAGCTCAGGTGTATCAAGTGAAGGGTCCTATTGATAGTACAGCATACACAGATATTGAAGACTGGGTTGTGCTTCCATTTCAGGACAACAGTTTGGGGAAGGTTCCAGAATGACTATGCCCCTGTATACAAAGCCAGCTCAATAAAGCCAAGGTTTGACAAATTTGCTGTTGAGGAACTCGGTTGGCCTGCACAAAGCCCTGACCTCAACCCTACTGAACACCTTTGGGATGAAATGAAGCCATTGTAAACCAGGTATTCTTATTCAACATCACTACTCACAAATTCTTTTTAGCTGAATGAGCACAAATTCCGACAGGCACACTCCAAAATCTTGTGGAAAACCTTCCCAGAAGAGTGGAGGCTGTTGTAGCCACAAAATGGTGACAACTCCATATTAATGGGCATGGTTATGTAGGTGTGAAAACGAATAAACAGTCCTTAATATAATAATACTACAAAATAATAATGATGATGATAATAATCATAATAATTAGGGATGCACCCGCCGCCCGGCTTCCTGATTGGCCGGGAAGCCGGCTCCATGTTCCCCCGTGGCACTGCCCCGGCCAGAGGAAATCTCCCTCTGACCGGATGTTCCAGTATCGGGGGTTAGTATCAGAGCATTTGGGTGAGTACGAGTACTCGCCCAAATACTCGGTATTGGCACCGATATTAGTATTGGTATCGGTGCATCCAGTGGTGTCACAAGGGGGGTGCGGCCTACCCTCGGGTGCCACCATTGGAGGGGTGACACCAAAATGACTGTCATTTTGGTGTCACCCCCTATGAAAAGTCGGCCACTCGCTCACGGAACCGAGAGCCCGACAGTGTCAGGAGAGAGGAGCGGACCCGACGGCATACCTCATCCCGCCGGGTGAACGTCCCCTCCTCTCTCTGCCGGCGTCCATCACCAAGATGGCCATCGGCAGGAGTGAATAAGACAACCGCGCATGCTCGATGACGTCACGGCGGGGTGTCACCCGGTCTCTGCTCTGGGTGTCACCCCGCCTCAGGACGCCCCCTGGGTGCATCCCTAATAATAATTATAATAATATAAAATTATATATTTCAGACCTCGGGGTGAACGCTCAGAAATGCCTGTGATTGCATTGTGTGGCTCACACTCAGCACGACAAAACTGTATAAAAACCGCATTATTTAGTGCTATAAAAATATCTTATTATAGTGCCGTCCTTTTTACTTTTTAACATCATCATAAACCACGTCAATCATCAAAGTGCCACCTCCCCACAATAAAAGGGCCCGAACCAAATGAATACAATGACATTGGAGCTAGCCTGTGCATGGTAATGCTTTGAAATGGACGTTCGATTTATTAGGAGAGACATTTTTTCGTCCAAATTTAATTAAAATAAAGCATCAGGTTTAAATGTCCCCTCAGAGGCTGCGACAGATAATAAATCCCGCCTGAAATTTGGTTGTAAACAAACCGGTTTATTCAATAAGGGACTGTGCGCGGTGAAATATGGTACCTCAGCCTCGTCTTCTACTCTAAATGTATGTAAACCCCAACAATGCACTCTGATTTATTCACTTTTGGTCTTTAAAAACGAAACTCTGGCCTCCCTTCAGTCTTGCACAGTTGTACCGGCTCCTCTCCTCTTCCCCTGATATCACTGCACACTGGCAGCTTCTCACAATATGCATTAGAAGCTGCAGCAAGTCAGATAGAGACCGTTTCCAGTCTGGAGGACGTCCAGCATCATCTAGCATCTGAGCGCACTCCCAGCACAAATCAGTAAAAGAGGCCTACCCCCATACTGCCACATACATGAGTACAGCCGGCAGAAAGGGGTCATTGTGAATATTCAGAGTGTGTTGTTTTCATTAAAACCTTCTTTCTACATATAAATTGTAATTTGAGAAGATGAGATCGGCGTTGGAAACCACCATATTCCTCCCCATTGGGGACCGAATGTCTCCTTGTTCATTGTCAAATATTATTGCTTTTGCATACATTGCTTTAACCCATTAACATAAATTCATTGGAAACCAGCGTGAACAGACACGTCCCAAATTTATCTCAAATATCACCATTTCTATCTGAAAGCATTCTGCACATTAACCCTTAAAGGGAAAGCTAAGTGTGTCTTTTGAGCTATTGTTGCAGCGTGTATCTAAACCCAAGACTGAAAAAATTTAATATATTGCTGCCAGCAAGAAATCCAAATCCAGCGTATCAGGCCCAGGGCCACCCGTGTCCTAGCAACCAATGAAGCTGTGTGGGCTGCACAGCCCCATTGATTGCTAAGACACTGGAGACCCCACAGCATCCCCCCAGGACACCTGTCTGTGTCCTAGCAAGCAACGCGCACAGCGTCATTGGTTGCTAGGACACAGACGGGTGCACCATAACAACCAATGATGCTGTTGGGTCGCCAATGTCTTAGCAACCAATGAGGCTTTGCAGCCCACACAGCTTCATTGTTTGCTAAGACACTGACAGCCCCACAGCATCATAGGTTGTTATTGGACAACTGCCCGCATCCTAGCAACCAATGATGCTGTGCGCAGTGCAGGGGCGTCCTGAGGCTGGATGACACCCGGAGCGGAGTCCATGACCAAGCGCCCGACTTTTCATAGGGGGTGACACCAAAATGACTGTCAGTCAGTCACTCTCAGTCATTTTGGTGTCACCCCCTCCAATGGTGGCACCCGGGTGTGGGCCGCACCCCCCTTGTGACGCCACTGGCGCAGTGCTTGCTAGAACACAGTCGGGTGCACCGTAGCAGCCAATGACACTGTGGGGTCGCCAGTGTCTTAGCAATCAATGGTCTTGTGCAGCCCACACAGCTTCATTGGTGCCTGCATCCTAGCAACCATTGACACTGTGCAGCCCGGACGCTGGCATCATAACAACCAATGATGCTGTGCGCATTGCTTGCTAGGACACAGTCGGCTGCACCATAGCAGCCGATGACGCTGTGGGGTCTCCAGTGTCTTAGCAACCAATAACACTGTGCAGCTCAGTGTCATTGGTTGCTAATATGTTGTCATTGGTTGCTCATCTGTGTCCTAGCAACCAAACATGCTGTGTGGACCAGCCGCTAGCATCCTAGTAACTAATGAAGCTGTGTGGGCCATAGACTTGTGCGCCGTCAAAAAAAATGTTCTGTTTCGTTTCGTTCTGTTTCGGAATATCCGTTAATTCGTATCCGAAACTCAATTCGGATTCGTACGAAATACGAATTTTCGTTAGTTTCGGCACATTTTCGTAACTTTACGAACATTCGTTATGATGAAGTTAAAAAGCAAAAATACCTTTGTTATTATTGGAGTCGATGTGGTAGTTGTTTTTTTATCCGAAATACGAATTCCGTTAACGGATTCCGTATCCGAATTTCGTATTTCGGATAAAAAAAACTACCATCAACTCCAATATAAATGTACTTTGCTTTTTAACTTCAATATAACGAATGTTCGTAACGGAACGAAATTCCGTCAACGGAATTTCGTATTTCCTGCCTGTGTATTGTAATGCAACTCTCAGCAGCAGCGGATCCGTATTTCGGATTTAAAAAAAAATCTTGTCATGTTGTTCAACCTCATTTACAGGGGTAATATTAGTTCCTGTTTCACAGAAATTGGGATCTGAAATTCGTTAACGGAATTTCGTATTTCGGATATAATTCGAAACTGCAATTCGGATTTCGGATGCTTCCGAATTTACGAATTTCAGGAAAATTCGTACGAATTTCGATTTGTAACGAAACGAATCGCACATGTCTAGTGGGCCGCAGAGCATCAGTGGTCAGCATCAGTGACCTTTATATCAATACCTTTATAAAAGGAAGATCTATCCAACACATATACAGTATGTGAAAATATAATTTCATCATGGATGCCATTACTGACCCTCCTGAAAATGCCATTGACCTGGAACAAGTATGTGGATAAGAACTTCTGACCTTAACTTTACATATCTGCATATTGTTCTAAGTCAGTGACTCAGAAAGTATTAAAGCCCAATTCAAAATGAAAAGACAAGCATGCCCCAGAAGGTGTACAATATAAAATACAGCCCTGGAAGCAATACTCACCTTCTCTCCAGAGCTTTCCCCCTGCAGTAATATTTTTCTGTCACTAGATGTCCTCAGTCTTCCCTAGTCAATGACGCTCAAGGAAGACTGAGGACATCCTGCGAGTGCAAAAGCGTGACAGGGCCCCTGCACAGGGCCCCTGAGGTGCCCTGTGCTCGCCTACAATGAAGCAGAGAGTGGGGGTGATGTCAGCGACGCTCTTTGCGTCATTGATGAACACCAGAGAAGAGGTGAAGAGAATCCTGTGTGTCACATGACCAGCCTAAAGACATCTGAAAAAGGTACAAATAAAAAAAAGCAAATACATGAGGGGGCCCTTTAGGGAGGAATTAGGTACAACTGGGGGGAAGGGGGGTCATAAGGAGGGCCACAGTCAAACTGTCAGTGTAACAACCAAGCAGCCAGCATTTTAAAAGTAGGTCAGTGATGGCAGACCGTCTCATCACAGGTTTTCTTTAATGGTACTTGTAAGCCTCTTGTGGTATATGGCTAGTTGATGAATATACAGTATATCATACATGACAGTTTCACTTAGCCATAGACTGGCCCCTGTGCTTCACCTCCACAGTTTCAGGTTTAGAGCCCCTCTATGCGGGCCCCTACTGAGCACCGCCGCTGTCCGTTCCCCAAGCTCATTGAGCCT